AAATAATAATATACATGTACTTGCAAACACATTTTGCTTGGAGAGAGAGAGAGAGAGAGAGAGAGAGAGAGAGAGAGAGAGAGAGAGAGAGAGAGAGAGAGAGAGAGAGAGAGAGAGAGACTCGCTTGTCACTAAATTATGTACACGCAGCCGTTTTCCCAGGGGTCGTGACCTTTCTGTTGAACACGTTCTCAAGTGGTGTGTAAAGTGTAAACACGCCCAACGGCACAGGTACTTTATCCGTGTTTAGCACACAGTCCCGCAGTAGTAGAGGAGAGGGCAGGAGATAACACGGGAAGCGAGGAACAATACACATGAACAAGTTTCCTGTGTCCGTGCTGTGTTCTGTTCCTATCTTCTCACCTTGAACACCGTAGACGTGTTGCTGGAATCACCACAATGGCAGGTAAGCCCGCTTGCCATTGATTCTTCTTGTGTGCCGTAGAATGCTGGGACTAAAATAAACAACGCTGATCTAGATCTAGATCTAGATCTAGATCTAGGAGCTGCTGTATTTGTATGTTGCCTGACACCAGTCTATGAGAAATAACTCTTTTTGTTTAGTCTATGTTGGAAGAAAAAAAGTGCTTGGATATAAATATAATATAATAATTAAACTACACTTCATGTGTCCATATAGATCTCGTAGTAGATCTAGATCTGGATCTGGAAGCGGATATTATTCTGTATGCAGACGCCCAACAGGCTTTGGTATAGATCTAATTTGTATTCTATCAAAGTAGTCTTAAGTAGCAAATAGGTTAGATCCATGGCGTTCTCTACTTGTAAAGTACGCTATGGTTAGATCCTATACGTTCTTATTCTGAGCGTCTAGGTTAGATCTGGGTGTGCGCTGTGGCTAATTATGAAGTAAGAGGCTATATTGCCACAGATAATAGGCAATAAGGAGATCGTGTAAAGCTACTGTGTTGGCTGTGGTTTGATCAGTAAAACTCTCTGGTCTGGTTTGATTGGAAAGATCGAGAATGCCGTACTCAGAAAGCTAAACGAAAGACACAGTGCCAAATCAAGCGTTAATTTCAAATGTCCCTTTATAAAAACAACAAGAGACGTGTTTTTCTTTCAGTTTCAGTTCATCCGATCGAGGTAATGGTCATTTTGGTGAAAACCTTAAAAAGAGTGAATGAAAAGAAAGATAAGACAAGAAAGTTAAAAAAAAATACTCAGACTGTTCTCAGTTTGAATGATTAGGAAACGAGAAAGAATTCTATAATTATAAGACTAAAATAGGATTTGGGGAGTGGGTGTGGGAAAATAAAAGATAGTGAATGGTCACAGCCACCAACAACTGGTTTAAATCTGACACGCGAAATAATAGAATAACTTATGAAAGGTAAAACTGGAAACAATGCATCGCAGAACGACCAAGGAAGGTTGAAGTGGGAAGCGATTTGGTTATAATATGGAGAGATTTGAAGTCAATATGTATCGACTACGTTTACTTGATGCAGAATTACACACAACTTCCTCGTTCATACGAAGACATGTACCAGAAGAAAAGTTGCTACAGAAAGTTTGAAAAGAGAGAAAATTCAAAGATAGAGAGAATGGAGGACAGACAAATGGAGAGAGATAGATAGAGAGAGAGAGAGAGAGAGAGAGAGAGAGAGAGAGAGGGGGGGGGAGAATGGGGTGGCAAGGTAAAGAAAAGATGAATACGAAGCTGGAGTTTCTTCATATGTACACAGCTGTTTGCCTCTGTTTGCTCTGATTCAAGTACACATGTACATAAACATTTCCCCTCCTTGTCAAACCCAGAGAAACGAAGACGAAGACAGAGAGGGAGTGAGATAGAAAGAGAGAGAGAGAGAGAGGGAGAGCGGAGAGGAGGATAAAATAAGAGCGCCCTATGGTGAGATTGAGTGACAGAGAGAGAGAG